AACCTGTGGTTTAGGTTAAAATTACTCTGATTTTAGGGCTAAAGCTTGTCAAATTAAGATTCCCATTACATTCCTACAAACCTGGGATTGCTCTCAGAGGCAGGAAATATGTGAAAAGTTTCCAGAACTCTTAACTACCATCAGAATGGCCACATTCATCTTGGTAAAACTTTCCTCTGACAGCCTTATGGCACCATCTAGTGTACTATTCATACATACAAAGACAAAGGATGTTCAACTCCTTTTGTTTGTTTTCTCTGTATTTAAAAGGAAAAAAACTATTATTCTAGAGAACCCTTAATACTTGACTTAATTCAAGTTTATGACTTTTCAGTAAACTTTATTTTAACATTTATTTCTCTTTTCATAAAAGTAGGTGATATAGTACTCACTGTACTAGATTGTTTATTCTGAATCTGTGGTCATAGTAAAAAGTGTTTATAAAACTTTTTCTTCTTGACGTCTGCTCTATAGCGTGAAAAATAAGAATATGAGAAATCAGTATTTAACAAATAGGCAAATATTAGAAAGATGCCCCACTATATACAAATTCCCTTTGCTGAATCAAGCAGTTGATAATTGATTGTCTCCTACTATTTCCTTAGAGTTGGAAGAGGCCTTGAAAATCAGGCAGTCCAGTCTCCAGGACTATTTGGTAATTTCCTCTATATGAACACTGACAGTTAGTCAGTCAGCCCAAGCTCAAATACTGTGCTTCCAGTGACAGGATCTCTATTATGTCATAAGAGTCCTATTGTATTCTAGGATTGCTCTGATTATTAGAAATTCTTCGTCATTGAACTGAAGACCACTTCTCTGTAACATTTGCCTACCAGTCCTGGTTCCACCTTCTAGAACTAGACTGATTCAGATCTCTATGATTGCCATTCAAATATTTAAAGACTGGTAGTCTGTCTCTTTCTACATCTTGTCTCCAATTTCTCTACTAATCATAGAGTAGTATTTCTTGACTCAACACCATTCTCTTCTGTCCATGCCCTCTTAACAAAAGGAAGGTATCCTACTAATTTTATTTCATAAGAGATGATATAAAAGCACTTTGAAATTTTGAAAGTAAAGGGAAAATTAAAGCTATAAGCATTTTACTGACTAGCATCTGTGTACAATACCATATTTTTATTTGTTTTTGTAATGAATGTGGATTATCTTTGTCTAACCCCCTTACTATCACCTTCATCTGTTAATAGAGATCATCCTAATTAGGGAGAATCACCCTTCTCACTTCTTCCCCATGTGGACTTTTTACATTATCTCCTCTTTCCCAGACTCTGTGTTTAGTCCAGGGATGCAAACATGACCCAAACCACCCTCTTGCATAAGCAGGAAGAGAGAAGCCCTCTCCTCTTTGATGATGAAACTGTTCCCTACCACACAAAGAAAACAAGTCCTTAGATAATGTGAAGCCAACAGCAGAGAGAAACAGTTGCAGAGAGAGGCCCGATTGTATTCAAGACCCTGGCTCCAGCCATTCCCAGTCTGCTCACCTAAACTAATTCAAATTGAGTGTCCAGCCTCACACTGGGAGCCCTACTTGATATGGTTCTTGAAGCTGGGATTACTACAATAATCTCTTAACTAGTGTTCCTCCCTCCAGTTCCTTCCTCTTACTTTCGACAATGTAATCTTTCTAAAACTCCCAAATTAGGGTTGTCACTCCTAACTTAAATTTCTCGCTACATTCAGATAGAAATCAAAGTTCCCTTGTAAAGCCTGTAGGTCCTTTAATGATGTGGTCTTCCTACCTCTCTAGCCTCTTCTATCACAACTGTACCATGCTATAACTCACCAGGGACCACCTTCGTGGAAGACAATCCTTCCATGGAT